GCTCAACATTGTTGAATCAACACGTGAACTTCACCGTGAAGTTTACGTGAAGTCACGAAAACTTTACGTCGTGAAGCCTTCCACGAGTGGTAGGAGGATCTGCCCACTCCTGTTGGCCAGTCTGCTAGCTGCATTGTATCGATTGCTCGCTATATGTGAATCGACTCCGTTCGGCCATTGTCAGCTACCGTTTTGTTGCCGTCCGCCTGTGCGGCCCTGCCTGTGCGGAATAGACAGTATAAGGCGAGCGCGAGAGCCTTATCCGTAGCTAACGTGTGCATGCGTCAAACGATCGAGTGCATTCAGAGTCTTTAGAGAGATTCTTTTGAGGAATACTGTTGGCTCCCCTGCCAACCTTGTCGACCGCAGCTAAGTATTGTCTTATACCCGTATCTACCCTTGGGATTGTGTTACCAGAGTCACTAGCATCGACTACCTATAGTATCAATCGACGACCCGATCACGACTTCGAGTACATAGACGATTGTGATGATGATGATCTCTCGAGGCTTGACAACTCTGCTATAGTTGTCGCTTATTCAGACGAGGATTCGTGATTGATCCTGTCTACTTTTCTCTTTCGTATACTCATTATCAGACTTATTGAGAAATAGTCAAGAACTTATGAGATTACAAGATATGTCTGTGACGCGTCCGATATTCGGTTCTGATCTGTGACGTCAATCGAGAAGTCCGTAATTTTGCAGCTCGTTACATTTCGAGTATCTTACGTACTTCAGGGGTTCTTATTTGGATCTTAATCTTCGGTCTATTCCGTCACTATTACTCCGATATGGATACGAGTCCTAGTAGAGAAAGCGATGTTGGGTTGCACGCGAGTCCGTCGTCGATAGCTTCCAATGAAGAGTCTGCAGGGGAGGAAACCGTGTCGCTACATTTATTGGCGGTCTCGGTGGGACGGAAGGTGAAGGAGATTGCGAACACGGTGAAAGTGCGGAGTAGTGCTCTCGATGAAGTAACGGCACTGTTGTTGAGCTATGAGGAATGCCCTTTGGCGGAGGGTTCAGAAGCGCTTGAACGATTCGTTGGAGCAGCATTGGAGGAGGTTAAGGAGGAAGTGTTGGAGCTTGTGGGACCGGAGACTGAGTTCGATGATGTTGAAAGTGCGATATATGAGCAATATGAGAATTTGAAGAGTTATTTGGTCTTGGAGTTGAGGGCACAATCTCGAGGTACAGGGGAAGCCAGGGCCATCCGTCCGGCTAAGAAGGCAGTACGGGGTCAACTGTGGGCCAGTTCTTATTCGCCTTTTGCTCTTAACCTTCCAGAACCGTTCCTGGAAAGAATTGCTCAGCGACGATGCGATATTATCAGAATGGGGACGGGAGAGGCCGAGGCACTACGTGAGCAAGTACGAGGTGGCGAGAGCCGATTGACGACAGACCGACAAGCCCACACTGATGAACCCAGAAGAGGATCGACGGTGATAGCGGATAAGTCTGAAGCCAAGGAAAGTGATGAGAGGATGGGTGAGGCTGTCACAAGGGGAAAATACTTTCCAGATGACAATCCCATTGACATCTCGAAGGGAGGTGTATCCTTGGGTTCGCCTGGGATGTCAGATGAGAAAGTTACCGATCTCTGGCAAGGCCGAGAGCTGCTCAGAGAAGGAGAGAGGGAGAAAATCCGTAAGGCCGCTGAGGCAGGTCGTGCTCCTCCGGGTGGACCGTATAAGATCACGGGAACGACTCCACTGTCTCTGTTCAAGACCCATGTGTCAGTAGTGTCATCAAGTCGGGGGTGGAGCAAAGTTCACGAGTATTATTACCTCGCTCACCACATTGAGGCTCGGCTGTGGATCGACGTCGTCACTGCGAATCAGAAGTTGTTAAAGGACCCCTTGCGCCGAGAGAGTTATTCCGAGGCCGTTGCCGATATTTGGCGAGCCTTAGAAAGAAGAGCTGGAAAGAATCGTGAGAGTGAGATCCTCCAGTCCGAGGGTCTGTCGATGAGGCAGAAGAAGGGAGAAAGTGTCAGTGATTTCCTTCATCGAGTGAACGATTATAGATATAGATGTCAGTGCGCTGGAATCGTCCAGAGGGATTCTCACTGGATTACGATGTGCAGGGTGGGGCTGGCCGATCAGTTGATCAAGAAGATTAGTTGCTTGACCACAGTGAATACGTGGGAGGAATGGTCTGAGCATGTTGAGCAAATGGCAGGAGATGATGCAGCGGGCAATCGAGTAGCTGAGGCATTTGGGATGGAAGCATCTGAGAATGGTGGTGTCTCGAAACCTGAAGGAGGGAATGATACGACTAGGGGGCGATCGAATGCCGGGAAGGGACGAGCTGAGTTTCGCGGGAAGTGTTTCTTTTGCCAAGAGTTTGGTCATCGAGCCTCACAGTGTCCGAATCGTAATCTCTCGGGAAAGTGCTTCCACTGCAAGAAGTCGGGGCATCGAAAAGCCCAGTGTCCATTGCTGAAAACCACGCAGGCGGCGGTCGATGTTCAGCAGGCCAGTACTGATGTCAGTGATCGGAAATTACCGATGGAGCCTTCAAAAGAGGCACAGGTGGCCTCCGAGGAGAACGAGAGGCCGACCGCAAGCGTACGTGTGACAACGAGCTCTTATGCAGTGGAATGCTGTGAAGCGACGGCCGGGTGGAGTTCGGTTGCTGTTGGGAAGAACGATGATCTCCCCACTCTTTCATTTGAATGGGGTGGTGAGGAGATGACAATGCTTCTCGACAGCGGGTCAGCAGCTTCGCTGATCGATCGTGAAACTTCGGAGAGTATGATTGAGAGAGGAGCCGCAGTAAAGGTCAGAGGCCAGTCGTCAGTGTCCATCCGTTATGCGGATGCTAGGGTGGAACCGGCCTGTGGCGAGATCCTCGCCAACGTATGGATTGATGGTAAGCCTGCCTACCTTCCTTTCCTCATCGTGGAGAAGCTGGCACAACCACTGATAGGGCGGCGTGGTCTACGACTTCTAGGAGCTACTCTTGACTTTCCCCAAGACACTAAGGAGGAGCGAATAGCTCTTCAGAAGATGTTTGAGAGTAGATCTACTGATGCCATGACTGCTGATATCGATCTCTCAACTGCTATCATCGACTGTTACTCTACCAATGCGGAGATGTTCGTTGCCGACGATCGTGACCTACAGGCTGTGGAAAGTGGTCTGCAACGACCGGCGTCGAAATCGTCGGCAGCATCTGAAGCAGGAGATGTGCTGGATCGTCGAGTTGATGAGGTGTTGGCTCGAGCATCAGCTGAGCTACACAAGAACGGGAAGGATTATAGGGGTCGAGAGAAGGAACTCCTCCGAACTTTATTCACCAGAGTGAGCGAGCTGGGCGGTATAACGATCTCTGATGGGTACGAACTGTCTCTGAAGAGAGAGCGGGAGGCATCTGGCAAGCCAGAATTTGCCTTTGTGGTCAAGTGGACGACGAAACCTTCTTCGTCTGATGGTTCGTCTAAAGTTCCAAGAGGTTGGTGTAGTAACTCTATGATACAGAAGCTCGACGAGGACGAGCGATCTGAGTTCAATCAGCATTGCTCTGTGTATACTGAGAGGGGCTGGTGGGAGAAGGTCGAGGAAGACGAGTCTGAACTTCGTAGGATACGTCGTTCCCATTTAACCGGGACGATCTTTCCAGTGAAGCAGAAGTTGACGAAGTCTACTCGTATCCGACCCGTAGCGGATATGAGAGGGGCCAATTTTTACTCACCGGCAGTGTCTGCAGTTCAACCAACGGTGTTGAAGGCAGGGCAAGTTTTGAGAGGGGTGCTCCGAAGAGGAGTGCAGATACGACAATACGACCTCGAGAAAGCTTTCTATTCTATCGGTATCGAGGTCATCGACGTGGTTACTGGTGAACGTACTCCAGTCTACCTATCGGTCGGTAAGGAGTTGTTTGAGTGTTCTAAGCTAGCCTTTGGGCTGGCGGTAGGTCCGCATGCGTTGAACTGTACTCAACGTATCATTCGCAAAGTCGTTCGCTGCGCTTACGACGTATTGCGAGGTGCTCAATGTCACGATGTCTACCCTACCATTGTTGTTGTCATGGACGACTTCGTAGTAGCCGGTGAGGCTCCTGTGCTTGATGTCGTCGAACAGTTGCTTTTGCTGGGTTGGGACCTGTGCGGTTTCAATTGCCCTGATGCGAAGCGTGAGAGATGGTCGAGTGGCCAAGGTACC